GAAGCCAATGGAGCTGATACAGGACTGGGGTTATATGAGAATAACGCCCAGTCCCTGACAGCATCCTGGCAGCTCTGTTTTGAACCATCTGAAGTATCCCGACTGTCTTCAAGGGTAGCCCCACATAAAGCACGTTACAGAAATCTAACCAGGAAGTAACCAATGCATGTGTTACTGCTGCTTGGCAATCTTCCTCCAGGTAGGGACGCAGCTGATGGATTAGCCGAAGCTGAAGGAAAGCGCTCCTCACCACTGCTGTCACCTGAGCTTCCAGGGACAGGTCTGGGTTGAGGAGCACTCCCAAGCTGCAGACCCTGTCCTTTACAGGGAGTGCAACCCTGTCCAGGACAAGGCCCAAGTCACCTACCCAGAAGTTCAAATCACCCACTAACAGAACCTCCATCTTATCTGGATTGAGTTTCAGTTTATTGGCCCTCATCCAGTCCATTACCTCGGCCAGGCACTGGTTCAGTTCAGCCACTGCCTCACCTGGATTGGTTGAAAAAGAGAGGTAGAGTTGGGTATCATCAGCATACTGATGACTCCGCAGCCCAAACCTCCTGATGACCTCTCCCAGCAGTTTCATGTAGATGTTAAATAGCAAGGGGGACAAAATGGAACCCTGCAGTACTCCATGGCAAAGTTGCCATGGCGCAGAACCAAAGTCCCCCAGCACCACTTTCTGGAATCAGCCATCAAGGTAGGAGTGGAACAACTACCAAGCAGTGCCTCCTACTCCCAGTCCCACCAGCCTATCCAGGAGGATACCATGGTCAATGGTATTGAAAGCTGCTGAGAGGTCCAGGAGAACCAACAGGGATGCACTCTCCCTGTCTCTCTCCCTGCACAGGTCATCGTACAGGGTGACCAAGGCAGATTCAGTACCATACCCAGGTCTGAAGCCAGACTGAAATGGGTCCAGATAATCAGTTTCATCCAAGAATACTTGGAGTTGTCCCACCACCACCCATTCCAACACCTTGCCCAAAAACAGGATGTTGGCTAACAGTCAGTAATTGGCAGCCATCTCTGGATCCAGAGACGCCTTCTTTCGGACAGGCCTGATTACCGCCTCCTTTAAAGGAGCGGGCACCCAGCCATCCCTCAGAGAGGTGTTAATAACCTCCAGGATCCAATCCAACACAGGAACCAATCCCGGGTTTGGCTTTGGTCAGCGGCTATGAAGGCAAGTGTCGAGTAAGCAGGTGGTAGGACATACTTGTCCGAGCACCTTATCCACATCATTGGGCCACATTAACTGAAATTCATCCATTAATAACTGACCACATGGAGTCACTGTTGTCTCCCCTAAAGATCTGAATCAATTGTGGAGTCCAGCTCATGACGAATCTGAGCAATTTTCTCCTTGAAGTGCTGGGCAAAGTCATCACAGCAGGCCACCAATGGTGGTACAGGAACTTTCTTAGGGCCAGGGTATATCAGCCCATGTACCACTCGAAAAAGCTCTGCTGGACAGCACTGTGAGGAGGCAATGGAAGTGGAGAAGAATTTCTTCTTCACTGCCCTCACCGCCACAGCATAGGCTCAATAATGAGCACGTAGGCATGTTCAGTCAGATTCATCCCATGATTTCCTGCACCTATGCTCTAGACGTCTCCCAACCCGCTTCATTGCCTGTAATTCAGATGTGTACCGTGGAGATGGACGGGCTCTGCTTGGCAGGAGAGGACGCTTAGGGGCGATCATGTCAATTTCTCTGGCCATTTCCCCATTCCACAGTTCAACCAAAGCATCAACAGGAGCGCCAGATTTATCAACCAGAAAATCCCCCAGAGCCCTCAGGAATCCATCCGGATCCATCCAGCTCTGAGGGCAGACCATCACAATAGGATCTGCACTCTTACAGAGGGAAAGGCCAGCTCCAAGCTCAAACCTCATGAGGAAGTGATCTGACCATTACTAGGGAGTCAGACGCAAATTCCTCACCCACAAATCACCCTCTTCCTGCCCCGTTGAGAAAACCAGGTCCAGCATGTGACCACATTCATGGGTTGGACCTATGACATGTTGAGACAGCCCCATGGCTGTCATGGAGGCCATGAAGTCCTGAGCCGCCCCATTTAAAATTCCAGAGAGTTATAGATAAGATTCCTGCTTGACCAGACTCTTGCATTTGACCTTTGCCTCAGGCCTTCCTTTGGGGCAATCCCTACTTGCCTGGTGCAACTATTTGCCTGCTAAATTGATTTCCTGTAAGGAAATGCTGTAAGCATTCATCCCTGCATTTGCCTGATGGGTACGGTTTTGTTAGCCCTTTCGCAGTATCTCACTTCCTTCTGAATGATGACAGCCTCCCTTTGCTAGATACAAATCTCATGAAAAGCATCATAAGAAGCTGCCTCCTATTAAGTTAGACATTGGTCCATCTAGCACCCTGGATAACAGGAAGATGCCTCCAAGATGTTAGGCTCTGAGAGAGAATGTGCTTTACCAAGAGCCTTCATCCTTGTGGAACTGAGACTTGCTTCCTTTCCCCTAACTGTCTCCCATTCTTCTTTGCCTTTTCTTCCTAAGAACCATAGAAAGTAGCCATGTCTTACATCTTTCACTCATGCACACACCTTTAGAGGGTTCTTGTCATTAAATAGTGTTAGTCTTCCTTGTGCGTAGAAATGTTAATATATACACTGATTTGAAGTCCCAAGCCTGCTGTAGCTGTATTTATTCCCTCTAATAGTAAAGCTTAGATTACCATGCTTTTGTGGATAGTCACACCAGATTTTCTAACATAGTCCAGAGGTGCAAGAAGTGTAGTAGGGCTGGCAATGCATGGAGTCCCCTGCACTAACAAGGGAATCCCCCGCTTTGTGAGCATGAATGGAGCCCCTTGGTACTTCCTTGGGGCTAAAAAGGTCGTGTGCCCCTGGTCTATGATCAATGTCAGAACTTCTCCAAACTTTCTAAACAGGAGTTTTTCCCAACCTCACTTAGGTCGAACCTGGGACATTTTGCACATGTCCTTCCACTAAGTTCCAGCCTTTTCTTCTGTGCCCTCCTCACTTAAGCCTGCCCTATGCAGTTTTTTTTTAACCTCCTGTACTGGATCTGTCCAGGAAGCAGCCTGTAGGAGAGATTAAAGGGTGCATTTCATCCACTGAGCCAGGCCTGAGTGCTCTCTGGTGATGCAAGTCCTCATTTCGCCCCTCAGCTCCTTATTTGTCGTGGTTGTACTGCTTCTCTTCCTGCAGCCATATGAATGTATGGATACATATACAACTGAAAGCAAGATATCCTTGCATTTGAAAAGGGATGGAGAAAAGTGTCTGCAGTGGACTTCTCTCCATGATGCTTTCAGCCCAATACTTTACTCAGTCTTCTGCTTTCATTTTCTTTGCTGGATTAAGAAAAAGTCCTTTAGACATTTTTTTCTGGATTTTTCTCCCTCTCTGCCTTTCTGTTTATTCCATGAGTCCCTGGTAGTGCTGTCCTATTGTTGTGATATAACAGAACTGCAAAAATGCAGGCAATGCATACAAGAGATTAGGAAATTCCTGACTTTTCTTGCTCTCAAAAAAAAGAATGCAGCTCCAAACCATGGGAAAGTCCCGAGTAAATGATGAAATTGTGCAAAACTTCTGCAAACTTTCAGAAGTGGGGTCATGGGAGGTCACATGGACACAAAAAATGTCTTGTATGGAGCATCTCTTATTTCACAAGTCAGCAGTGCAGACTACTAGCAGTGTATGGGCCAGCACAGAAGGGAAAGTGCTGGGCTGGCTGCAGATCATTATGGCCCTCAGCCTGATGCTAACTGATGTCTTGTTCAAATAGCTGGCTAGCTCCTTCCCTGGACATATCTGCCGGCACTGCCAATATCACCGTAAAGATTGCCATGGTCTCATTCTCAGGAAGCTGTGAGAAAGCACTGACCAGTTCCCAAGAAGAGAGGAGTAGGCATTGTGAGTAATCAACGTGGAGATAAAGAGTGTCTGTAGGTACATTGCCAAAAACATATTTCATTCTTCATTCATAACTGAGATAAAGCAAACAATTTCTTCATTTCTTTGGTTTACAGTTTACAAAGTCATCCTCTTGTACAAGCAAATATGAGCTTTATTAAGTATGAAGCTGAGATTAGTTTCTTCATTTCCAAACCGCAGAAGTTCGCGGAAATCCTCCCAGTGGGATGTCATTAGCAATCAATGCTTCTCAAAAAAGCCCACAAAGTTCATCCAATTATATCAGCCACCAAGTATTATGTGAGGATGCCATTCCTACCATTCAGTCACAGCCATCTGCCACATATTTTGGTAGGTATCAACTTCACTCATGTTCCAAGGAAGTTAATTTTATTGGTATCCCAAATAACACAATCACATCTTGATGACTAGTTTCAGTCTGGTTTGCAGATCATTGCTCATAGCAACAATGAAGTATTTCAGTTTTGAGCATTCTAGTAGTTTACCCCAACAAGTAGAGACTGTAAGTGCATGATACTCCCTCCTCTTTTACAGTGAACGATTTGCACTACACTGGCATCTAACAAAGCAATGCTGCCCACTCCGATTAAGCTTTTCTGCAAGGTCATAAGGACTGGAAACTTGGTGACCTTTTAGGTCTTTGACAATTAATGATGCACCTAATATAAAAATAGTACTCATTAAGGTACTGAAATAATGGTTGCACAGAATACACACAGCTGTAGAACTGCACAGGCATCTGAAGTATGAGGAATAGAGTTGATTTTAATAGCAATATTTGTATGTGACATCTGGTGCTAATGCATAATGAATGTCTGCTGTAGCTGGCCAGGCATGGCACCATCAGATTGATGAACATTTGAGCGCAGGGCAGTTCTTCTTTCCTTCCATACTGCAAGTGATGCGTCCCCAGAGGGCAGAGCCCAAGTAGAATCCAAAGGAAGAGATGAAGAACTACCATGGTGTGCATAAAGGGGTTTATTCCTAGGGGAGGATAAAGGGAACCAGGATGAAGCTGGAGGCGCATCCCATCCCACAGGTGAATTGGCCCAGTGGCAATCACAGGTGTCCAGAACCAATCTGGAAAGGGAGGAAAACTGGTGAGGCAAACACTTCTGAAGGGCATGGGTCAGGTTCAATCAAGCCAGTGGCTCCAAGGGTGATGAACTGTTTGAATGAGTGCTCCAGTGGCAGTGTCCAGGCTGCAGCCAGGGCTGTGGGGAGATGAGTGGGAAGCAGAGCCATTGCACTGGCACTGCTGCAAGACTTCACTTTCCTCTTCCTTCCCCTTTCCTTTCTCCTTGTGTGTTATTGCAAAGCTCAGGGAACCGAGGTTCAAGTTTGGATGCCAAACTGAAGCACTTCCTGACAGTTAAGACCCCAAGGGTATGGAATGGTCTTCCACAGGAGGTGGTTGAGGTCCCATCAGTGAGGGTGTTTGAGGATAGGCTGGACATGCACATGGTAGGCATGTCATGAACAGAGCCGGGGGACAGATTAGATGGCCTGGGAGGTCCCTTCTGATTCAGTCTGTTTCTATGTTTCTATGTATTTTAGGATGTAAGCCCATAACAAGGTCTGCCTTGTTTTAGTGATTATATGTACGCTGCTCCTGCAGCTTTTTTAGCTGAGGAAGCTGACTAAAAATGCTTTAAGCAAAATATATAATGAAGTGTCTTCCAGTGAGATCTCCCAGCTAGCATCACTTTCAATAAATAGATAAAAAAGGGAGTACAGGGACAGGGCTCAGGATCTATTGTAGGGAGGCATTCAGACCCTGCTTCTGCTGCTGGGAGAATGATATTAATTTAATTTGATTATTTAAAAAGCTTGCTTGCTCAGCCCAATATCAAGGGAAGCCAGGCGCAGTGTGTTCATCACTGGTTTCTTATTCATTCTGCACAGGAAGTAATCCTGGGTATCTGTAGTCTTTCGAAGGAGACAGTATATACACTTAACAATTTGAATCCTGGCCTCACCTAGGAATGTTGGAGAAACGAACTCAAATGAGTTCATATTTCTCCAAGCCCATCCTGCAGCTTCTGAAGCAGAGCAACTTTTCTAGCCCTCTCTTCAGGGCTTGTGAACCGTTATTATTATTTTGCACATTTTGGCACAAATTTAGCTGCAAAAACTATGCAAAAAGAGACTAAATTGCAGAAATCCCCCATAGACTAAAGTGTGAAAACATGCATGGAAGGTATTTGCATACATTTGTGACCACACATTTTTCAAATGTCAGTTTGCACAAACACATACAGATGCATTTGAGCAAGTTCCTAGCCTGTCAATTGATAGATGATGGCAAAAACCAACTGAAAAATTGCAGAATGCATGCAGAGTGATTGTTAGATCATTTGTACATCCTTGGTCTTACTTTTTATACTACCACTCTATACGACTCTGGTGTGCCCACAACTGGAGTACTGTGCTCAGTATTGGGCCCCTCATAACAGAAAGGATATAGCCAGGTTAGAGTCAGTGCAGCGTAGGGCCACAAGGATGGTGGCCATTTTGCAGGGGATGGGGTATGAGGCGAGACTGAGGGAACTGGGTCTCTTCAGCCTGGAGGAGAGGAGACTCAGAGGGGATATGTTGGCGACATACAGGTATGTCAGGGGATGCCACATGGAGATGGGTAGAGACCTGTTCTCCCCTGCAGAGGAAGGAAGGAAGGATGCGCTCCAACGGAGCAAAGTTCAGGGAACCAAGGTTCCATTTAGATGCCAGGAAGCACTTCCTGACAGTTAGGACCCCGAGGGTGTGGAATGGGCTTCCACGGGAGGTTTTTGAGGCCCCATCAGTGCAGGTGTTCAAAGATAGGCTGGACATGCACATGGTGGGCATGTTGTGAGCGGAGCTGGCTGGAGCCAGGGGTCAGACTAGATGGCCCAAGAGGCCCCTTCTGACTCGCTCTGTTTCTCTGTTTCTATGTTTCCTTAAGTTTTGCTCCCTATCAGACAAATATCCACACACTTGACACAGGAGCCATGGAGCTCCATTGGTATTTATGTTCATAGGATCTGTATTTAATGTGGAACTCCATAGGATTGGGGCTCCTAATGACATTGGTATCCTAGATATGTGCAACCACACATGTGTAAGTTTCCTCTTTCTGATGTCACACAGATTCCAGTGGAAAGGTGAGATGTGGTATGAATTGAACTTACCTGTGGAAGAGGGTTTTCTGAACAGTGCTCATATATGTGAATGAAGGTGGGAGGGCGCGGGGGCAAAAGTATCAAATGAAAATGAATGAATAAAATAAACTGTCACCTTGCTGATATTTATTGTTTGCTTCTCTTCATTAGACTGCAACTGATTTTGTGTTTCTAAATCTGTTGAAAAGCAAATAATATGTTAAAGGAATGGATACCTTTATGGTAACCTTTTTTATTACCTTTAGCTTTATTATTACCAAATAACTTTACCTTTATTATTACCAAATAATATATGTTAAAGGTATGGTTATAAGCAAATAATTAGTCCAAATATTAAGACTGTTCAGGAAAAGGTACAAGGAAATATCAGGAAATGATTTTATTTATAATTCCTTTGTTGTTCTTCAAGGATATGGGAAGGAGCTTCCCAAAGATCAGAATGTGATCTTTAATTTTCTAAAGAATTGCAACTGAGTATAAATGGAAGCAAAAATGATGCTATATCAATAAGAAAAATGATAAAGCTCTGGCTGCTGGGATTTATCTTGAATCATATGACCTTTACTAGAATTAAAGAGGACAGATAGAGAAACAAATGTTTTAGTGATAATTGACCTATTTTTAGTGCAATTTTATGATTTATTGAGAAAATTTTAAGAAGAAATGTTCTTGAAAGTCACAAGGCAATATAAATAATGGTCAACCCTGGAATAATATCATCAAAAGCTCTCCAGTAGTAAAAAACATATAATTTTTACTGGTTACCTGAAGGAACGCTTACATCCATATATGCCCGGCCGCCCCTTGAGATTGGCGGGAGAGGCCCTTCTCCGGGAACCCTCCGTGAAAGAAATTACGAGGGTGGGTACTCGGAGGAGGGCTTTCTCTGCGGTGGTGCCTAAGTTATGGAATGCACTCCCCAGAGACGTCTGCCTGGCGCCGTCGTTATTTGTTTTTCGGCGCCAGGCGAAGACCTTTTTATTTAAACGGCATTTTAATTGTTAATATTATTGGATTTTTATCTGGCCAGGGCGGCTTATTTTATATTGGTATTTTTGTATTTTTAACTTAATGTTTATATTTTTTAATTTAATGTTATACTTATTTTTTTAACTTATTGTTGTAAGCCGCCCTGAGGCTTCGGCGAATGGGGCGGCATAAAAATGTTTTAATAAATAAATAAATAAATAAATAAATAAATAAATAAATAAAATTTGACGTGAAATACGTGTGTGATTTTAGGAGCTTTATTAGTCGTAATTTATATTCAAACAGAAAAAAAATTGTTGAAAATGTAGAAAAAGGAAGGAGGGCACTGTGGGAACCTAACTGTTGAAACCAAAGTTGCACTGGTTGGAGAAGCAATCCAGTCAACTGGGGAACAATGAAAACTGTTTTTGTTCAATCATAAATTAATTCCAGACTTGCACTAACCACCAATGTCTATTTCCCCGTTTTTTTATACAGATAGTCCCCAGTTCTGTTCCTAAGAAAATGGAAATTTGTCTTAAAGCCAGATTTGTATGAGAGCCAGATCACTTAGAGTTGGCAGGCATCAGGGGTTCAGGACCCCTGCTAAACTGAAAAAAACACAATTATCTCTAGGATTCCTCCCCACACAAACTTACCCCTGCCTCCTGTTTGCAGCAAGAAAAAGCCAGAGAGATTTCCCTCTTCCTTTCACCCCCACCCCTCTCCTTGGGATGAGATTTCCTGCAGTATTTTTTAAAAAATTAATAGGGTTTATGGCAATTCATTCATAAGTATGGGTTGTTCATAACTCAGATGTTCCTAACTCAGGGACCTCTGTAGGTTCACTGATTGCATTGAAAGCATATGATTTAACACTTAATGAAAACAAGAGCAATCAAAATCCAGCAATGATTCTTTCCTACCTGAAGGCTGACAGTATCTCCATCTCTTATCTCTATCATAGTTGCTGGTGAGAGAGCACCAGAGCTTCCATGTTAAAGTCCCCTTGGAAGTACACTCTGTGTAAGTCTTGCCTTTGTAGATGAAGGGGAAGGAACATGGCGCCTTAGAACTGCCGACATTTCCTGGGGTGATGGGAGAGGGAAGTGTGAGACAGACAAGCCTGGTGTTGAGGGTGAATTGCAGCTAATGGCCAGGACATGTTCAATACCCGATCCAAACATATGACTGACCTACCCAATTTTGGAAAGTAGGTAATAAATCTGTTCATGACTTCCTACTGGGAGACCATGAGTGACACTTTTATTTCCTTCTTTATATCAAGAAACAAGCCTAGCCCAGGAAGTATTTACATTGTTATTTCCTTCTTTATTTACATTCGTTCCTGGATAGCTCACCTGTGGTGTGCGCCAAAGCAGCCATTAGAATATGTGACCTCCAATCAAGATTTTTGTTAAAAGTGCATCAAATACAAACAGCAAATAGACTGGTCTAATGCTACTCTTCAACAAACAAAAGAAGGGTTTTGTAAAAAAAAAAAAAAAGATAATAATAATTATACATTATAGTTCTGATTGTAAAGAAACTTTCCATGGTCGTAAGTAGTATAAGAAATGAGTTAGAAAAAGTTATCTGATAGTGAAGTATAATGTTGCAAGTATTAGTATCTGGACATAGTTAACAAGAACTGAATAGCCCTAAAGCATGTTAAAAGAACTCCTTTATGTTGCATTTATAATTGTTGGAATTAGAGCGTATTCTCTCAGGGGAATGAATTATCTGCTCTTAGAATCATAGAATCATAAAACAATAGAGCTGGAAGGAACCTATAAAGCTATTGAGTCCAACTCCCTGCTCAATGCAGGACCACAAATTGTAGCATCCCAGATAGATGGCCATCCAAACTGCCTTTTGAATTCTTCCAGTGTGGGAGAGTCCACAACCTCCCTAGGTAATTGGTTGCATTGCCATACTGGAATTGTCCTTTGTCCTGGAATTCTACTGTCCTAGAATTGTCAGGAATTTGTCCTTATATTTAACTGGAATCTGGCTTCCTGCAACTTAAGCTCAAAGTCATCCCAAGATGTTCTGTAGGGAATGGGATAGAAAAGCTTTTAATTAATTAATTAATTAAACATTTCATATGTGTGACAGTCTTTCAAGTACTTGAAAAGCACTATCATATCTCCCCTCAATTTTCTCTTCTCAAGACTAAACATGCCCTGCTCTTTCACTCTTTCCTCAACTTTGTCAAGTTTGTCTATATCAGTGTGAATAACTGATTACTAAAATTGTATTCATAGAGCAAGTGTGCCACTGATGATGATCCAGAAAGAAGGAAAAGTATGTTAGAAGACTAATAATTTTTTCCAAAAGGAAAAAAAGAGGGGATTGTTCCGAGATGATTTCTCCTTTGTTCTTACAAATGCAGGGTTAAAGAGCAAACTTGTGTGTGTGTAGCGCTAACAGAACTGGGCCTAGGTCCAGCACTGAGCAGGGAGTTGGACTCGATAGCTTTATCGGTTCCTTCCAGCTCTATAGTTTTATGATTCTATGACTCTAATAGCAGAGAATTCATTCCCCTGTGAAAATACACAGGAACCAGATCAAGCATGAGCGTTTGAGCTGCATCTTGACGGGGTCATCCTTGGGTGGGGTGGGGTGTTAACAGAGGGAGGACAATTCCCAGCCTTGGGAAGCAAGGGACCTACAGGAAAGTCGTCAGAGGATGAAGTAAACTGTAGAAACGTTGTTCTAATTGTGTGCTGTGCAGTTCCAAGGCATTCTGCCTTACATGTGTAATAACATGTTGACAGCCTTGTGTGCTGTTTTCTTAATACATATTGCTGGTTTGCTTTTCTTCAATATTATTTGGCCTGTTCCATGCAAGATCTAACATGAGCATGCCACAGGCCACAAGGTTTGATTGTACTCTTGAACAGGTAAAGGAGAGCATGCTGGCCTTCATTCTTCTGTGCCATTTTTACGCTGGCCAGCTGCTTGATTCCCAGCTAAGCCTCGAATCAAAATCACACCAAGGACCATGATCTAGCAAAGCCAGCATCAGAGGCTGCTTCTGTTTTGCTCCATCCCTTGCGAAGGGAGAAGGGCCCCAACACACCAACCCTGCTGTTCTTCCTTCCTCACTGCTTGGTCACCTGTCCCCTCTGAAGGCCAAATTAGACCCATGGTCAATGTGTCTTTGCATCTAACATGCATGCTTGTTTGCTTCTTTGTTTTCCAAATGCAAGCTGAAGGCTTGGCAGGGGTGTCTGGAGCTGTTAATTGTGGAGATCTCAGGAGGTTGGGAGGAAGGACTTTAATCCCTTCCTCTGCTGGTGTGGAGGAGATACTTCTGAAGCTGGTATTTTCACTGGGAGAAAACACAAGCAGCAGCCTAAGGAACATTTATCCTTAGTTGAACTTGGATAGTTCCTTCCAAGGAAAAATGAACAAGATTGAGTTGCATCTCTGAAAGCAACCTCCCCCCCCCCCCACCCCAACAATCCCATCTAGGCACTGTTATGCTACCTGGCTTGACAATCTCCCCGTTGCTCATTCTTGTGTCAGCACAGAAGCTCCATTTCTTGTCCTTGTCATAGTTTGCCGTAGTGGCACACCAGAATCTCCCATCTGTATCCTCATTGGTGCATGTAGTATATTCCTTGTCCATGTAGGTGAAGGGGAAGACACACTGCCCACCATTCGAGTTTCCTCCATATTCTGAAGACACAAAGAGCACAGACAATAACATGGGGCAAAGCCAGGTTCAGTTACTCGGAATAAGGCAAGAGGCTAACACTTCCAGAACTAGAGGAAAGCAGAGCAGGTAACATTTCCATCAATGAAAGACCATTAGCCAGGTTTTCCTGAACCCAGTGCATCCAAAACTCCCACTCTCACATAGAGAATCCAACCTCAGGATTCCAATCCTTATTTTTAAAGGCCAAAGTATAGCATTGTGTAACTACAATGAGCATGTCTAGTTTTTACAAAAGTTAAATAGCAACTATGGAGGGAAGTGTCTGACAGGTTCAGGACCTTGCTGCAGGGGGTAATATTTCACCCCAACCCCAAATTCATCCCTCCATCTCCTGAAATTGTTATTTACCCTGGGAAGGAAACTTCTATTAGTACCATTGGATTGTCCCCACTTGTGGCAATGAAGAAGGGGAGGCATTCCCTGGGAGTGCAGTGAATGGGAAGGGTTAAACACCTCCCTGGACATACCCTGGTCCCAATCCCTGACCACCCTCCCAACAAACTGAACATCACATCCAGTTTAGCTTTAAATCACTCTCCTCTTTGTCTCTGGGTACTTTCCCTTCCAGCCAAGCTTATCTACTGTTCTTTCCCACTGATGACCCTTCCCACTCACATATCTACAGTTTCTTCCTCTAAAAGAAGCATTCCCTTCTCTACCCAACAAGCTACATCCCCCTTTTCCTCTTATCCCTACCAAAATTTGTTTCATCTGTAAAACTTCCCCTATCCCCTAATTTTGCCTTCTTCTATCTTGTGTTCCCCTCAATGCCACCTGATTCCCCACCAACCTATGTTCACTGCTATCCCATCGATGCTTGGCATCCCCAGCACAGCCAAGGGTTCACAGCTTCAGGTTGTGCCCACCCATGTTTCCCCACTGCCCAGCTGATCAGTTAAGCTGTGGGAAAAGACTGCAGAAAGGGGAGACAACAGAAAGAATGAAGAAAGGCAACTGCCTTCAGTGCCTTCAGGATAAACTCCATTCTTATATCCAATCAGGGATCAGAGATCTACAGAAAGAGATTTTAAACATGAAATACTTGACCCACAATATAAAATTGCAATACTTTTATGGTTTAGAATTGAGCTGTGCTTTGCTTGCCTGAAAGTTGTTACACTGAGATCTGCATCTCAAATTGTCCAAATGCATGTCCAACTTGGCTAGAATTACATTTGTGTATGTGAACATAATTATGTGTGCATGCATGCAGACCCTTGGTGCCAAAAGGTCGTGCAGTCCTTTTTTTAGATGTCAAGGGGCATATCTGCAAAATATCCAGCCCATTATTGGTAGCAGACCCGGTAACCGAAGCAGCGGCATTCTTAAACGATTTGTTGTTTTCCAAGTGGGGTGGGGTTTTTCCCACTTGCACAGCCTGGTCGCCAGCAGAACCTCCTACCTTCAGTAATACATGCCTTCCACTTGCTGTCCTTGTCATAATCTGCGGTTGTGGCACACCACAAATGCCCATCAAAACTCCCATTCATGGTGCAGTCAGAGTAGGATTTTTTCTTGTATTTGAAAGGAAAGTAGCAGGGGGCTGGATCTGAAGAGGAAACACAGCAAAGCAGGGAAAGTGTCCAAGAGGGGATTGGAATGGTAAGATGAGCAGTAACTGAAGGCCCTGATTCTGTTGCATTCTGTAGTGAGGAGCACTGGAAAACTTAGCATGCCAACCAATTACATGGAGAACTAAGTAAACTCTACATAAAGAAATACAAAAAGGCTTGGATCTAGATTAAGGTCCTATCTACATGTGATGCTAACATGCTTAGCCATCCCAAACTGCTTGCATTCAGATGAAATGCCAGGTGCGTCATTGGCACAGCAGCACATGGGGAGGGGAGAAGCAAGCATTCCCTCCCCACCTGCGTTCTCAGTTTGAAAAGAGAAAAATCCAGACACAATCCAGGCCAGTCATTAGCATTAGAGGGAAAAAACTTTTTGACACCACTGGCAAGTGCTCCTACTGCTAAATGTCATATGGAGAGTTGTCCTTACTGAGAACGAGGCTGCTTGGAAAGAATGCTTGTACCTGCGCCCTCCACCCTGCCGCCGCTCTGGGTGCTACAGTGTTGAGAACAGCCTCCCCTTGTGCCTGACATTTTATTTAAAGGAAACAGCAGTGTGATGACTAATCACAAAGTCAGGCATGTTACTGCATTAAGATTGCTTTGAACTGCCCAGAGAAGACTGAAATGGGATTCTCAGAATGCTTCTCTGGAGCATTCTGTTCCAGTAGCTACTTTTCCACCTTTAACAGCTCCTGTTCACACAGAGCTGTTAAAGGAGCTACACATGGCAATTATTGTGCTCTTGTGATTTTCAATCACTGAAGTTTGTGGGGTCTTTTCATGACATCACTTTTGTCCTTCACCATTTCTCCCATGTTTTCCTGCTTTTTAAGTACCTTGTGGGGTCAGGAGAGCTGCCTTTCTGTTTGTTTTCTTTTCCAACAAGGAAAGTCAGGTATTAAATTTTAAACCACAACATACAGGGAGAAAAGCCTGGTAAGCCATCACAAATTTACCATAGAACATCTGGACCACAACACCATTCTTGGTTGGTTCATAAAATATATTAAACAACAGAAAAATACAAAACCCTGGGGGAAGAAGTTTGCAAAGTTTGCACTTCCTACAGTGAAAACAGAAGAAGCTGCCTCAGTAATGCTGCAGGTTAAAGCCTGTATGTAGGGAAGCTCTCAGACATTTCGGCCATGGCAGCTTTCCAGGGGTGGTCAGCAGGTAGATATCCAGATGATTCCAGCTCCCATGAAGCATAGAAACATAACGAGTCAGAAGGGGTCTCCCAGGCCATCTAGTCTGACCCCTGAATCTAGCCAGCTCCACTTATGTAATACCCAACATGTGATTGTATATATTTTCTTGAACACCCTCGCAGATGGACCCCACCACCTCCTATGGAAGCACATTCCATATCGTCGGGGTCCTAACCATCAAGAAGTCTTCCTGACATTCAACCTGAAGGCTGGTTCCTTGAGCTTTGCCCCAATGGACCATACCCTTTCCTCTACCACAGAGGAGAACAGGTCACAACCCTCTACTGTTTTGACACCCCTTCATATACCTGCAAGATCCCCTCTGAGTCTCCACTTCTCCAGGCTGAAAAGTCCCAGCTCCCTCAATCTCATCTCAGATGTCATCCTCTCCATTTTCACTATCATGCTTGTGACCCTGCACTGAACTGATTCTAACCAAGTTGTCTTTCTTATAATGTGGAGCCCAGAATTGGACACAATACTCCAGTTGTGGATGCACCAGAGTCTTATAGAGCAGTACTAACACCTCTCTCAGTCTGGAAGCCACACTTCTCCGAGGGTGGTGTTCACCTTCTTAACCACCACATCACTCTGCTAGCTGATGTTTAACCTGCTGTTGACGAGTACCCTGAGATCCCTTTCACAAGTGCTTCTCTCTAGCACTTGTCCCCTGTCCTGTACCTATGACACCTATTCCTGAGTCCCAAGTGCAAGACCTTGCACTTCTCTGCATTGAACCCTATCCTATTGTCCCCCACTCTCTTCCACAGCCTGCCCAGATCCTTTTGGATCTGGAGTACCTGCTCCCCAGTTGTGCCTACCACCCCCACTTTGATATTGTCTATGAATTTGGTAGGCAGATTGGTCACCCCGTCCTCCAGGTCATTGATAAAGAGGTTGAACAGAATCAGTGCCAAAACTGAGCCCTGGGGAACTCGGCTCACTGGTTGCCATCCTGATGATTCCCCACTGATAGTCACCTTCTGCTTGCAGTCTGTCAACCATACCCTAATCCACCAGACAGTGCATCAATCTGTCCCAAAGCTCATCATTTTCTCAACCAGGATATCATGTGGCACGTTGTCAAAGGTCCTGCTGAAATCCAGATAAACCACATCCACCTCATCCCCTCCATCCATCCACCTTGAAACTTTGTCATAAAATTCCACAAGTTTCGCCCGGCAGGAGTTATTTTTGCAGAAGCCATGTTGCATGACTGCCAACCCATCAAGTTGTCTAATGGGCAAGAATGCAGTGAGCTGAAGCCAGAAACATCTGGAACTCTATCTTCTGCATACCCCTGCTCTGTTCCATACACTTCCCAAACTGATGCCCTCCAGAAATTTTGCAGTCTGACTTTCATCAGTCAAAGCCAACATGACCAATGGTCAGAAATGTGGGAAATTGTAGTCCAAAACATCTAGAGGATGCCAGGCTGCAGAAGGCCCCTCTCATTCGAGTACTGGCTCCCCACTCCTACCCTTCCCACCGCCCCCGCAACACACACACACACACTTTCTGGAATAAACCAGTTGCTAATTCTTTGAATAGTAGTTTTCATCTAACGAGAAGAAAAGTGAGACCTTTCTAGTCTGCAATACTGCACATCCTTCCACACATCCTCCTAGTCTTACATCGGTCTAAGTCCTTCCCAAGACAATACCATTTTGATCCCATTCTCCTTACCTGAAGGCTCACAGAATACCAATTGTGAGTTGTCATCATGATTTTTGCTGATAGAGCACCAAAGCTTCCCATCCTCTCTCCCAGCTCCTGTACAACCAGAGTAAGTCTTGCCTTTGTAGGTGAAAGGAAATCTACATGGATCTTCAGGGTAGTTGACACTCAGTTCTGGAAGAGATAGAGAAAAGTGAGGGGGAAGAACTATTCCTCTGAGGAGAACACTTGTTTGTTTGTTTGTTTGTTTGTTTAAAACTTTTCTACATCATCTCTTCACAGACATCTTGGGACAGTTTACAACAAATAAAATAAAGAAAAATAGAAATAAAAGTAGCAGTTGCACAGCATCCAATGTAAATATAAAACCACCAATTAAAACAGGTTAACAATTAAAATATTGGGAAAATAAAAAGGGTTTTGCCTGACACCAAAAGGAAAGATGTGTTGGCGCCAGGCAAACCTCTTCCCGTGCTCTCAGTGAACACAGCCCTATCTCTGATTCGTCACAGAATGTGCACCCTTGCCTTGATCCATTCAAAGAAGTCTTCTCCAACCCATTGCCGCCCAGGAAGTATTCCCCAGGTGCACAAAACTAAGCTAATTTCTCATAGCCTGAACAGCATCATGTCTGACTTGGAAAGAGAAATGAGACATTTCTAGTCCATCATGCGGTGCACCTTTTCCCATATTCTCCAACTCGGAGATGATCGCCACCTATCAACTGTCCACGAATTGATCCATATACAGGTGGCTCGCTTTGGCAATGTCGATGGACTTTGTCATCAGGCACCTTCCAAGCAAGACTTTAGAATCTGGACAGCCATAAGCATTACCAGCTGAGAAAGACTGGGGAAAATATGATCTAAGTTGTGCATTTTTCAGCCAATCATTTTTCAGCAAACCACCCAGACTACTAAGCTTATCCAAACAGTGGGCTGTCATCTGTCTAATGCATCTTTAAGCCCCTCTCATTTCTGCTCTTTCTGTAAAGGCCTTATAATGGTCAAAGCTACACATAAATATGGGCATAGAGAAATATTCTGTGTAACATTTGCTGTGCACTTAAGATTCTGCCACACATCTTTCCACAGCCCATCCAGACCACCCAGTCCTTGCTTGTGATCCAGCAGTCCCCCTGTTCACATACTGATGTCTGCACAGAAACTCCACTTCCGGTCCTTATCATAGCTCCCTGTTGTGGCGCACCAGTACCGTCCTTTATGCTCAAATTTGTTGGTGCAGGTGTAGTAAGTACGACCAAGGTAAATGAAGGGAAAGGTGCATGGCGCTCCATTGGAATTACCTCCATACTCTGCACAAAGACAAAAGCAGAACTTATGTATATTTATACTAATATTTTGCCTGTTTAATTCCTATATTACCCGTGTGTGTTTGTGTGTGTGGAGAGAGAGACTGCCTCTGTTTAGAAGAGGATGGGATGGGCACAAAGTAGATTCCAGATGTTTTAGATTGCAGATTACAGCATTCCTTACCACTGGCCTAACTGGCAGGGGCTTCTGGGAATTGAAGTCCAAAATATACAGAGATTTACCTTCAGCCCATCATGCCATAGAGGAGAATTAGGCTTGTTTCCCTCCTAAAATGGAGCTGTCAGGGTCTAACCACATGTTGTTATACATAAATGAATGTGTTAGATTGTTAGTGTCGCTTACAAAGGGAAAAGAGGGGAAAATAGTGTTGTAGGAATGAACATGCTGATCTTTACCTCCCAATTGTTCTATTCCTCAAGGTTTCAAACACACCCACATGGAAAACATGCAGTTTGAACAAAGGCTGAGCCAGAAAGAGAGAGAGAGAGAGAGAGAGAGAGAGAGAGAGAGAGAGAGAGAGAGAGAGAGAGAGAGAGAGAGAGAGAGAGAGAGAGAGAAAGAAAGAAAGAAAGAAAGAAAGAAAGAAAGAAAGAAAGAAAGAAAGAAAGAAAGAAAGAAAATGTCATTGTTACTGAGTGAGTAGAGGGCAAACTCCCTTACCCCACCAAACAGAGGAGAGTTTTTTTCTGAAATTTTCTTTGGGAAGCCAGACTGCCCCTACCTTACCCTTTTGAGTTTTTGGTTTTACCCTTTCCTTTTGTTGTTGCTGCTTTTGTTTTAAAGCACTACTCATGGTAGCTAGAGGATCTTTCTGCAACTTCCCAGGGACAGCACTGTCTAGAATACCTCAGGAGCAAGACAACCTTTTGTGAGGCTGTTCCAATTGTATTTTAGAAAATATGACTGAGGGGAAGTTGTGTGAAGTTTTCTCCAGAAGTTCCCACTCTATACTTCCTGGGATGTCATGGGAGCAAAATGACATTACCTGGCATTGCTCCCAAAGAAATTCAGGAAACATAGACAGTGGAAACCTACTTAGAGAACCTCACACCTCTGCAAGTGGCATGGACGTTTAAAAAACAAAGACATTTTTAAGAAAGAGAGAACCCACCCCCAAAAAACCTCATCGGCTTTGCAAATGGTATAAAATAACTACAGTCCCAGTCCTAGTGTTCCAGTCACTAAGAATACGTAGGATATCATCACCATCACCATCATCATGACCCAAGAAAGACAGACTAAAACAAGGAAACAAAAAAAAAAAAAAATCAGCTCCTATTTCCTCTTCTCTATTCCACCCCCCATTTTAGCATAACAACCTACATTGATAGTGACGCCAAATTCAGTGCAGGAACTCTCTGGACCAGCCATCAGAATTGGAACCTATTTCTTTTATTAAAAATAAACAGTGTAGACCTAATTAAATTCTGTAAGCCAACTAATTTTATTCATAGGCTGGCAGTTTCCATGGGGCTCTACCCCTCTTACCTTTGACAGCACACGGCTTCCATTTACGATCCCTGTCATAGTTTGAGGTTGTGGCACACCATGGAGTTTTGTCAGTAGAACCATATTCCGTGCATGTAGTGAAGGCTTTGCCCTCATAAATGAAGGGAAACTTACAGGCTGGAGATTCTGGATAGGTAACTGTGGAGGGTTTGGATGCAAAGGATAGAAAAGGAATTAAAATAAAGCTGACAATATCATGCTGTTCTTGTACAAATCTACAGTACAATCATACTTCAGATACAACATACAGTTCTGGTCAGTACACCCTAAAAACAGTAATGTAAAGTTAGGAAAAAGTATCAAAAAAGCAAATAAAATGATGAAGGCGCTGAAGCAACTCCCCTCTGGGGAAAGGTTATAATAGAAGGTTATTAGCAAAGAAGGGCCTTGTCTGTCATTGTGGTCCAATTATGGAATTCCTTCCCAGGATAGTTCTGTTCAGGGTCTGCACTGTTATTCACTAGGCAATAAGCAAATTCTGCCCTATTCATCCAGGCTTTTGACAATTTGAATACAAACTATAATAAAAAGTGGCACATATAACATTTACATAAAATAGAAAGGAAATAAAAGTATGTTCAGTATTATTGTTCTTTAGCAGAAGCTTCAGTAGAAATTCACTGGACTCCCAAGCTGAGTTCTGGAATTCAGACAAACTCTTGTATTACCAACAAGTTTCACAGAACGCTCACCTTGTAAAACTATCTTGCAGTAATGGCAACAGACTTTGCCCTTGCTGGCTTGTGACATCACAAGAATGAGCTCAGGCCTGGCATCTCCTGATTGGCCGCAGTGGCCATTTATGAGATCCTGAGTGATCATAATGTACTACACAAGGATAAAGGGTGCCTAGATAGCTCCTGAGGAAAATGGCGATTGGCTGGTGTTTATTTAGTCTACAGTTTATCAGCATGATGAACAAGGTACTGCACCTGCCAAGATGCTGTTTTCTGTGCTACCCTCCAATTCTGTACTTGCACTGATTTCCACTTCTGGTCCCTGTGCTTCATTCTTCCTTCCTAAGATGCTGTTGTCCATGGTGATCCAGGTCATTTCACCCTTCTTTCTAGCTTTGTTGCTCTGTTTTTTCACTTTCTTTCTTTCTTTCTTTCTTTCTTTCTTTCTTTCTTTCTTTCATTCATTCATTCATTCATTCATTCATTCATTCATTATGTGTTTCAATCAAGTCACTATCAGTTGTTTCACTCTAGTCCAGCTTTTTCCACTTTTGTCCCAACTCTCCCCAGTTGCATTTGCAGCCTTCTGTTTCTGGACCTTTGCCTCCATTCTCCATGCACATATACACTGTTTCCATGCCCTGCTGCTACCCTTTCAGGGGTCCAAAAAGAAATTTGGGATGAAATGGAAAGACATTCAGAGTGAAGAAGAGCTGCTAATGATCAGCAGACCATGCTTAACATTCTTCTCCATCTCTAGCCATATTTAAGAGGTAATCTGGGAGAGGCATTAGTTTGATTCATCATCCACATCATCAAAAGGACAGAAGATCATGAATGCCAGGGGAGATTTTTCCTGCTTAGCCTACCACTCCAGTTGTCCTCAATCATTCACATATGAACTGACTGATCTGGAGAACAGAATATCAATAATTTATTTATTTATTTATATTGTGCTTTATATCCTGCCTTTTTCCTACAAAGGGCTCAAGGCAGCTTACATCTCCTCCATCTTATCCCCACAACGACAACCCTGTGAGGTAGGTTGGGCTGAGAATCTGTGACTGGCCCAAAGTCACCCACTTGGCTCCATGGCTGAGCGGGGACTAGAACCCAGATCCTCTGAGCCCCAGTCCCATGCTCTTAACCACTACACCACACTGGCTTATAAATAGGAATTAACAATGACCATCTAGTTCAGCTTCTTGTCTTATATGTGATTCATTAAGGATCAGAAGATGGAAAACATGACTACCCTCCCTCAACAAACCAAAAGTCACCTCTGACTCTTGCTCCCTCTCCCCAGACAGCAATCCAGATGAGTCGGATCACACTGAGCAAATGGTGAATTATTAATCCAATGCAACATGGCTGCATTTGCCTGTACTAGAATCAAGCGAAGCGCTGCTCATCACGTAGCTAAAATGGCACTATCCATACGCAAGATGGAGAGGGATAGCAGCAGGTTTGCAGGGACCCCAAAGCTTAGAGAAATTTTAAAAAATGAAGATGGGGAATACTTGAGAGGGGAGAAACCCCAAAAGTAGCCCAACGTAGACTACTTCAGTGTTCACAGGACACTAACTTATTGTTGGTGGAGGAAAAAAATGGGAAACCAGCTGGGGATGAGAATGGAATGCAGGACCTTGAACAGAGGTGCTCAATGCAGAAACATGTTGTTACAAATCTCACTCATAAAATAATACATTTTATTATATTTGTGTGCCAATTGTTAAGTCTCTCTCTTGTGGGTTTTAATATATTTTTAAAAGCAACAAGCAGGTGAAAAATATATATTTAAAAAGCCAGAATAGTCAAGTTAATGATCAATTACAAGACAGCAAAAGAAGCAATCCAAGATTTGCTAACCCAGCTTAAAGGATAGGTGGGATGGTTCTTACCTTGACCTGCTGCAAGCGATAGGAGAACCCAGCTGTACACAAGGAAAGCTATGAAAGATGCCATCTGGACTCTCAGTAAGAGAATCTGAAGAAAGGTCTGAAGAAAGTGCATGATGCTTGCTTTTTTTATAAGTGCTGCTTGGCCACATCTTCCTCTCACAGAAGGAGATGTTCCAGCTCTGCCATCACTGGGAGATGAGTAAATAAACAACATGTTAACCTTTTCAACCCAAACTAGACTGCTGCTCCCTGATTAACCCTAGCAGTCAAAACCTGCACTTCTGTACAGCCTGCACTATGGATAGGCTGAGACTTCCTAAAAGGCCATGGCACCTAAGAGAGATTCCATATTCACAGAAATCAGTAGGTGAAGTTTTCCAGGGTTTGCCACTTACACATGATCACCTGATAATTGCTTGAAGATCTAGCTGTTGTTGAAAGGACTGGGTCATTTCCTAGAGTAAAGCTGATGGGTGAACATCCCCATCAGGAACACTTGTTCACCCTTGAATTTTATATTAAAACTCTAGCATTTGTTGCATTTGGGGTCATTTTTGACCCCACATAAAATGTCTCAGCTATGAAAGGCTTTTGTTCTGGCTGAATGTCTTTCAGTCTTTCAGCTCTCATCAAGTACAAGTAATGCAAGGCTTAAATCTTTATACTATATATAACAAGAAAATCTATATAAAATGGTTGGCCTATTGACCTTTTCTTTGCATAACAGTAGTTTGGCCTACCAGTATTTAAAAAATGTAGTGGAGCTTTCTGCTAATAGTTTTTAATTCTGTTTGCATAGCTTTCAAAAGAGACCAAGATGATATTTATTGAACCTTCTCACGTTCCTTTGCTTGGAACCTGTTGTACTACACATTACCATTTATAGATGGATTTGGCAGTACTTTTGGTTCCCAGACAAGTTTTGGTTTATAGAGAGAAAAAAAGCAAAAGGTAGGAGGTTGAAATCTGGGGATCTTTTAAACTAGGTACTTTATGACAAATCTAAAGCAGAAGTCTTTAGGAATACTTCTGTGTAAATCATAGTACAGAATATGAGCTGGTGGGGGATGCCAGTTATCCCACAATGAAGAATGGGTTAAAGAAGGAGAACTTCTTAGAAGATGGGCATGTCAAGGTCGGTTGGGTGGTTGAAGTCACTGGTGGTTTCTTCCCTCTAAAAATAGGGTTGCTCTAAACTCCAATTACCTAGGCTTCCCTCTGGTTTAGAGTAGAGTACTCACAATCATCAACAGTCACCTTGATCAGACATAAGAGTGTTGGTTTGGCTTGGTTTGGTTTCTGGCAGAGGGACTGTATAGTTGCTATGCTGATGATGAGTAATGTGTTTGAAGCAGGTGAGATACACTAAGCAAAGACTGCCAACATATCCAGCTTCATTCTCCCCATATCATGATGTCCTTCCTCCCTCTCTTCCACGCATATGATGAAAGATGTCCATTGCATTCCATTCCCTTCCACCACCACCACCCCTGATGAAGAATCCTCCCAATCTAAGTAAGAGGGTGTCAGAGGAAGGCAGGGATTAGTGTTAAGGTGGCCCAATGGAAAAGAAGAAAGGAAGTCCTGCACTTGTAACAGATGTGTAGAAAAGACATTTCCAGCAGATGCATACTTGCACTACTGCACATTAGTGCAAAAGGAATTGGCACTATTTAGTTATTTAGAAAATTTCTATGCCGCCCCATTCGCCGAAGCCTTGGGACGGCTCACAAATAAATCAATTAAAATATTATACATTAACAATATAAAACAAGTTAACAATATAAAAAATGCACTAATGCACCTTAGCACAATGGGAACCAAATTCTCATGCATCCTTAAAACCAGTTCCATCAATCAGCAGACAACAAAATGAAAGGAGATGCCATGCATAAGGGAAAGCATATAAAAGTTTTATATAAAACTTATAAATAAAATATTGCACTGATGACCAATGTAGAATGGGTGGAGTGGATATGGCCAAATCTATGGCATCACTAGGATGGAATGGCATCTATTTGAAGGGACAGAAAACATCTACTTGAGAGGGAAAGGATGCTTGATCTGCCTTCTCAACACTTTGCATCTTTGAGTCCCTCAGAGCTGAACTCAGTAACTGACTTTCATTTGGCTAACTTTGACACAGGAATTCAGGGCTGATTCTTACACTGTGTGGAGTGAGGTGGCCATCTTAGGAGGCAGGGCAGGCAGAAATACCAAGGAGTTTAGAGGACAGAGTAGTGTGAGCCAAGCAGCATTCTCTGTGCCCTTAGCTAGCTGGCTGTCCTGAGGTGATGTGGAGCACATTTTGTGAGGAGGGCAGCATCATGACCTTCACCACAGGCTGAAGTGTGTTTTGGCCCAGCTCTGTCCAATGCTGCTATTAGCTTTTGTTTCAACAGCTGCTACTTGTAGGGGCCCTTTCGTGAAACCAGCCAAGCTAGGATAGTGCCAAAACAGACATTACTTTAAATCTATGTCTAGTAGCCATGTCTTCCCTGAAATTTTACTCTGAAGTAAGCATGGGGGGTGGGGCTAACTCAGATCTTAAAAGCCCCTCTACTCCTACTCAGGACCTAATCCAGACCCTTCTCCACCTACTCCAGTGTAAAAATGAGAGCAGAGGGAGGAAGGTACCTGGTAGGCAGGGATTTAAAATAGTTTTGCTTTTTGGTCAACTAAAACACTAGTAGTCAAAAACTACTATCTCTGGTCCCTGTTAAACTTACTTTCTATATATTGTAGACTGATTTCCATGTATTTATACTCCATTCTTCAATTCAGTGATCATTTTGACTCAGTACTTTGCTTTCAATATTTTTTTGCAACCCATGCCTAGTTCTCACTTTCTGGGTGGGTTCGTATGACACAACAAACCACCGTGATTTCTAGCACAAGGTTTTCTTTCATGTCATCCAAACCCTGCCAGATATTTCACCACACTATGTTTGGATTTTAGAAAGCACAATAAGAAACAATGGCTTGTTCTATGATTTCCAGGCTTCAACATAGTTATTCTGATAATTCTAACCCAGCATTGTTGTCTCTGTGGTTCTACCATGCAGCTACCACAGAGGACCCCGGCAAGAGTGGCAGCTGGGGCAGGAGCTGCTCCAGCCATCCAGTGTGGGATTGAATTTCAAGTAGAGTGCCTGATAGGAAACACACCAACAACAGGAGGACTCAGCAAAGAGGGTAGAAACCACACCAGCTCAGAAACCACTTAATCATCTATCAGGCACATCCAAGCCAAAAACCACACACACTGGAAGCCACACACGGTTGTTAGTTATGACATGTGAACCTAGCCTGTCTCTTCTCAACTGCTCCTTAAACCTTTCCTTTCTCCCTCTTACAATTGAGGGGGGGGGGGGGGGGGGTGCTATTGACACAATCTCTTAAAATATCCCTCCATGACCACATTACCTTTCTTTTCATAGCCCTTCCATATGCCTCACCATGTTGTAGCCCATCTCCAATGATGCCCAGTCCTATCATAAGGCAGAATAAGGAAGCAGCGGAGGAAGCAGCCCCCACCACTAATTTTGGTTGTCATGAAAGGGCAGCAAACCATTGCTAATTTAGCTGTTACTATTGTATATTACTGCCAGGAGAGGGAGAGGTTCTTGACAGATTCTCTGCCTCAGTGACTTGACCGGCTTGGAGTACTGGTGAGGAGGTATCAGTCACCGCCTGCAGAAGGTAGGAGAGCAAATTTGGGACTGGCTCTTCCATGACATATACTATTCAAAGAGGAGAAGCGAATTTGATGAGATCTTTCTGTACTGGCTGGAGTGAAGCCCTAATTTCATGCTCGGAGGCCTTGCATTTTGGGTGGCCAAAGCCAAAAAAAGAAGAAATGCATCACCAAAAGAGAGGACATAAAGTGTGTATTTGCTAATTTGTGTGCATGGATGCAAAATTAGAAATATTTATTCTAAGTGAAGCAGAGATCCTTCGTATTGTGAGATATGTGACCAGAGGACCTGTGGGCTCATTTTCCCATGAAGGGAAACATCGGTTCACTGGCAGCTCTCTCTTCTTACAGTTCTTTCTCATTAAATCACAGTTGGACAAGACAGCTCTTCAAGTAGAGGAATGTCTCTTGTAAAAGGATGTGTGGCCACCTTACGTTGTATTTCTTTCTACTCCCTGAGTTTGGCACTGAGAGATTGAAGCCTAGCAGGAAATGGCACCATGATTTCATAAAGCTGAAAAATGAACTGAAAGCTTAAATTCCAGTCTTAGAATAAATATTATATTTCTCCCATCCTGTTTCTTAAGGAACTGTAATTAAAAGAATGGAAATAAAGATAGCTTCTGTTATAAGCAACTGTACAATGGTGATAAAAGCTATGACTCTGTGCTTACCAGATAATGTTGCTTCTATAGTTCTTCAAGAAGGGATGAGACCCACAGAAAGAGGTAGAGAAAATCCTAGAAGAAAGAGGGAAGTTATGGGGCTGAAACACCCTTGTTGGTCATACATAATGGACTTGACAGTCCTAATCCCTGAACCCTCAGTGAATATAGTAGTGTATTTGCTCTATTTACTCTGCATCTGCTCCGGGGCACAGTGTTTAACATTATCCACATGTTAAACACTGTGCCCAGGATTAAGGTTGGAAATGAAAACAAGATCTGGATGCCAGGACATGGGAGACCTTCCAGACTTAGGGAAACCCTGAAACATACAGCAAGAGTAAGAAGATGGAAGATGGAGATCTCCTAGCAGATCTCTGCATGATTTGCAATAGTGCAAAAAGGATGTTTGACTCCCTGTGTTATAATGGCAGAAACACCTAAAAAGACTTGTTTTTCTAAATTAGGTTGTGATGGGTGCGGTAGGGAACATTCAACAGGAAAGCAACTACTCCATTTTTGTGTAAAGGACTCAAGTTTGCTTCTGGTGCAGCTCACAAATTCTTGGGTAAGCATTTACTTAGAGGTCCCTGCATCTACATTTCTAGTGTATGTCTGCATCCCTATGCAGGTATTTTGTACCTGACCTTTTTCCACTGAAGTCTGCCTGTATCTGACCTAGAGGTGAGAATCCTACTTGAA